CATCTAGCACACAAAGCCACTCTATCAACTCAGGGAAGCAGCCAAAATGCAGAGACAAAGAAACAGGTCACAAATGACAGAAATGGAGGAAAGCAAACTACTGGATATAGAGTTCAAAACCACGATTATAAGGTTTTTCAAGAATTTTCTAGAAAAAGTTGGTAAATTTAGTGAGACCTTGAGGATATGAAAAAGGACCAACTAGAGATTAAGCATACACTGACTAAAATAAAAAAATAAAATATACAGAGATCCAATAGCAGACTAGAGGATCTCAAGAATCAAGTCAAAGATTTGAAATACAAAGAAACAAAAAACACCCAACCAGAAAAGAAAAAAAGAATCCAAAATTATGAAGATAGTGTAAGGAGCCTCTGGGACAACTTCACGCATACCAACATCTGAATTATGGGGGTGCCTGAAGAAGAGATAGGGCAAGATACTGAAAACCTACTTGAAGAAATAATGACCGAAAACTTCCCCCACCTGGTGAAAGCAATAGACTTTCAAGTACATGAAGAGCAAAGAACCTGAAACAAAAGGAATCCAAAGAGGACCACACCAAGACACATCATAATTAAAATGCCAATAGCAAAACACAAAGAATATTAAAAGCAGCAAGAGAAAAACAGTTAGTTACATACAAGGGAACACCCATATGACTGTCAGCTGATTTCTCAACAGAAACTATGCAGGCCAGACTAGAGTGGCAAGAAATATTCAAAGTGACGAATAGCAAGAATCTACAACCAAGATTACTCTACCCAGCAAAGCTATCATTCAGAATTGAAGGTCAGATAAAGAGCTTCACAGATAAAAAACTAAAGGAGTTCATCACCACAAAACCAGTATTATATGAAATGCTGAAAGGTATTTTGTAAGAAGAAGAAGAAAAAGATAAAGATAAAATTTATGAACAACAAATACGTATCTATCAACAAGTGAATCTAAAAATCAAGTGAATAAAAAATCTGATGAACAGAATAATCTGTTTTGTAGCAGTGCCTGTTAGCTATGTGAGCTCTGTGCAGCCTCTCCATTTATACTGCTTCACACATCACTCACAGAATATAATAGAATCAGGGGCATAGAAAAGGAGTGGCTGACAATCCTCTGGAGGAAAGGAGGGGTGGAGGTTGTGAGAAGAGACTGGACAAAAATCATACACCTATGGATGAGGACAGTGGGAGGAAGGGGGTAAGGGTATAGGGTAGGGTGGGAACCAGATATGGAGGAGCTATTGGGGGGGGGGGGGGAGAACAACTGTAATAATCTGAATAATAAAGATTTTAAAAAAAATAAAGTGTCCTTTAACAGAAAGATGATACTATTATGGGGGAAAATTTTTTTAATATCATTCAAGAGTAACTAATATAATTGTTCATTAAGATTTTTTTTTGTACACTTTAATTCTTTCAGCAATGCTAAAACAGTGGCATATTATACCTCCCTTCATTAATTAAAAGTACAGGGTTACAAATGAAATTCTCAAGAAAAATTTCGATTCTAATGGCTGTTGAAAATCCATTTTCAGTGAATCTTCTACCATGAGGGATATGCTAAAATTAATCACCCTACCAGGGTTAGCTGTAAACATCACAGATGTGAGTACGATTTGCTCCAGGCATAATGATTCCTAAAGCTAAGACTTAGCTTTCATTGCCAACATCTCTGGAATTAACTTTCTCTAGATTGCCAAAATTCAGGAAACAAGGTGTTCAGTTCTCTCTCTTTCTGCAGCTATTTTTAAGTGAAAGTACTATTCTCATTCTTACTTCCATTCATTTCTTAACCCATGGAAATCAAATTTAATTTTGTAGCAGTGCCTGTTAGCTATGTGAGCTCTGTGCAGCCTCTCCATTTATACTGCTTCACACATCACTCACAGGACAAGTTCCCACAAAGACCTGTTTTGTTCCACTGTCAATCCACCTAAAGAAACCAGTTTAAAACTATGCGCAGCTTTGTAAATCAAGATGAACTAGTCAGAAATTGGATACGGAAACAAACAAGAAACCAAGTAATGCTTCCTAGTTAACAAGCAGAGTGCTATGTATAATCAAATTTCAGGTAATGAATCACTCTGCATTCTAAGCATATTCTAATTAGAAAGTTTATACCTTATTCATATTGTAATCATAGTCAAGTCATTATCTTGTTCCCATTGCTAGAATTATGAAAATATAATTAAAATTTTTAGTAGGATACTGTAGGCAACAGAAGGCATGGAGAATAAATGATGAAATGTGAACGTTGGTTCTGGAGACTCCTTAGAAAGCCTTGTAGGAGATAACTAAGTATCAAGGTTGCTCAGAAGAGAAGTTTGATATCAAGCACATATTTCCTTCTTTTGGGCAGTAATTAGCAGACCACAGTACGAAGAAATATAATGGCATGCAGAATTTATTTCCTCAGGGACTCTCCATCTAGGTCAGGAAGAAAGGAATACTCATACACAATTCATAAGTAACAGAATTACACTTTTCAACACAGAGTTAAATTGAAACAATATATTCAGACCTTAATTTATGGTGTTTGAAAATATCCTATGAAATATTTTCTCTTTGGGTAAATCTTTTGTAAAATTATTTTGCCTTCTTGTTTAGAACTTTGAAGAATAGCAAGCCTTGTTCAGAAGTTTTGTTTCAGATGATCACTAAATGTTGTACTTTTAACTCAGTACCAAATAAAAATAACCTTCCAGCCCTGACCGATTTGGCTCAGTGGATATGAGAAGTCTAAAAAGAGCTAATTCCAATGTAACCCTGATATTTGGGGCTAGACATCTGAATTCAAGCCAGCAAGCTCAGTGTACATTCCTGATAACCTATAATTAAGTCCCTCTCCCCTTCCCAGATACTGGTCTTGTGGAACCTGCTATTGTGAACAGTGCACTGCCCAGGAGGGAGGATTATTAACACTAGCGCCAGGCCAGACCATCAGCTATGGCCTGGAGATCCCCAACACCTGGGGGCCTTCTTGCAAGACCCTGGAAAAGGACTGAAAGCATAATCCATGTTTGTGGGACAAAGACCACAGGGAGGGAGCTATAAAGGAAAGCCCCATGTGTGTCCCTTCACTCAGATTTGGAAGGCTGTTCCCTGAGTCTGCCGGTGTATTAGACAGTACCCCTCCTTTTTCTTAGAAGCGTCTTTGGTTTTCTTTGGTCTTCTGCAACAAATAGAGCACATGTGTCAAACACAAGGCCCGCGGGCCAAATCTGTCCCGCCAGGCCTTGCAATGTGGCCCACACCGCGCTGTCATCACTGCACTCCGCTGCGTTTCCATCACAATGACAGTTTATGACTGTTCAGTAAACCATTCGGCCCTCGATTTAGGCTGGATTTTAGATTTTGGCCCCTTCTCTGATTGAGTTCGACACCCCTAAAATAGAGCATCAGATTGTGGACTGAAGGGTCCCAAGTTCGATTCCGGTTAAGGGCATGTGCCTTGGGTGTGGGCACATTCCCAGTGGGGAGTGTGCAGGAGGCAGCTGATCGATGTTTCTCTCTCATCGATTTTTCCCTTCCTCTCTGTAAAAAATAAAAAAAAAAATATTTAAAAAAATAGCCTTCCAGAAATCTGCTTTTTTTGGTGATGCTTTGCTTTTTCCTCTTGAGAAACACAAAAAGGGCATAAAAGCAAAGAAAACATAAAATGTTCTCTACCCATTATTCCTACAATAGGCAAATACCAGGCTTCCACCACAAGCAAGTTAGAAAATTCTCAGAATACTTAATGTAGTTTCTGAATCAGATGAACATGTTATCAAATATAAAGCTTATGGAGAACACAACACATTAAAAAAATTCCATCCTCCTTAACTCCCAATACACTTTGAAAAGAAAGTTATAATAAAAATGGGGTTTTCCCCCTCCTAAAGCCCTTTTCCCACCACTGATATTTACTGCACATGAGTATTTATTTTCTGTCTTGAAGAAATAAGATTAGCAAGGTAACTTTTCTTTTAAAAATATATATTTTACTGATTTTTTACAGAGAGGAAGGGAGAGGGATAGAGAGTTAGAAACATCAATGAGAGAGAAACATCAATCAGCTGCCTCCTGCACACTCCCTACCGGGTATGTGCCCACAACCAAGGTACATGCCCTTGACCGGAATCGAACTTGGGACCCCTGAGTCCACAGGCCGATGTTCTATTCACTGAGCCAAACCGGTCAGGGCAAGCAAGGTAACTTTTCTAAAACATTTTTCTTTACATGAGAATGCAAAAGGATTCAATTGAGTAATTAAATGTCTTCTTGCTTGCAACTGCTTCTCCCTGGCACTCCTTTCTCAAGTTTCATAGTCTCCACTATAGACTGACAATTTAGAATGATCTCATTTCTAAATCTAATTTCTCATTTTTCAGTGGTAAAGTGTGAATTGTCAAGAGTCTTAAAATGTGAATTAAATTTCTTTATTATTACATTTTTATTGAGGTATAGCTTACATAGAATAAAATGCACATAACTAACTGTACAGTTTGAGTTGTACACATCAGAATCAATGGTGAGGACTTGCTCAAAATACTCCTGCAGATTAAAAAGTTTCTTAGATGATTCTGAGGAACACCAGTTAAGAATCTTTGCTTTTGTAAAGAAACAAATTGAGGAATGGACATAAAAATACATATAAGGCATTAACACAGATTACAGTTACATTGCTATTTTAAAAAATATTTTATTGATTTTTTTTACAGAGAGGAAGAGAGAGGGATAGAGGTTAGAAACATCCATGAAAGAGAATCATAGATCAGCTGCCTCTTGCAAACCCCCTGCTGGAAATGTGCTCGTGACCAAGGTACATGCTTCTTGACCGGAATCGAACCTGGAACCTTTCAGTCAGCAGGCCAATGCTCTATCCACTGAGCCAAACTGGTTTCGGCATACGTTACTGTTTTTAAAAATCTTAACTTTCTTGTGTGCCTTGTTCATGGAGTTTGCAATTCTAGCTCACAGATGAAATTCTCAATTTGCTTTTCTCTTTGTTTTTTTTAGAAAATTAATGCAAAAGTTCATGATGGAGTATGTCAGCGCTGTAAAGAAGTTCTTGAATGGCGTGTAAAATACAGCAAATACAAACCATTGTCAAAGCCTAAAAAATGGTGAGTTAAGTTTATTAATTACCTTGCCAGTATCATATAGTTTATTATTTCATTCCCTAATTTTCAAAATTGTATTCAAATAAATATTGAGGTAAATAGAAAAAAATTCCATTCTCCCGTGTAAAATTTTATTTTATATGCTGAATCCTGCTTTGTGAAGGCAAATAGATTGAAAAACTGGATTGATCATTCCCTGACCCATTCTTTCATACATAATAATGCACCATTTTTATAGACTCTTGTGCATAAAAGGAGCGTTAGGACAGATAGGGGAATATTTGTTTTGCAAGTCTGCTTCTGACTGATGAGGTAACAATATTTACTATGGATCATGTTTACCAAGGGGGCCTTAAAACAGCTCTGACTTTTTAATGCAACCCATGAAGATTATTGAAATGGCTGAGCTGGAGTATCATAAGTAAACTGCTAAACTGATAACTTATAATTTCATTCCTTTGAATAGTTGGGTTTAAGTGAAAAGACACTGGACTTTGTTTCTCATTCTTCTATCCCTCAGTCTTTTTTTTTTTAATTTTTGGATTTTGTTTTATCAGCCTTATGTGCATCCTAGTGTGATACCTTATATCCTTTAGCTCAACTGATTAAGGGCCACATTGGAGGGTAATTTCTGCCTAAAAGAGAAAAGTGATTATTTGAAATATAAACGTTAGCATTAATGTGTCGATCATGTTTTTGCATTCTGAGTTTATGTAGTAGCTATTTAGAACACAGTTATGCATTGTTGCTTTATTTTCCTTTTGGTTTTTTAGTGGTAGTGGCAACTTCCCTAAATGTATTCTCTCTTCCTTCATGGGAGGAAGTTGTACTTAAAGTTTGGAAGGTTAGTCTAAAAAATAAACATGACATAATCTTTGCTGTTTATTTTTATTAAAAAATTATGTCAGATGTTTTGTGAATCTATAACTTGGGAGTCAGGGAAGTTCATGGTGATGTTGCTACTGCCTGGGAGTATGTGTAACCCAGAGGCCTTGAGAGACCTTGGCTAGGTCCAGGAGATGAGGACCTCAGGAGCAGCTCCACCCTGAGGCAGCTGAGGTTAGCCATAGAATAGCTGGTGGTGAGTGTAAAATGAGGGAAATATAATGTATAAGTACCAAAATGCAGAGAACATGACATTAAGGCCTAAAGGAAGATCTCTAGAAATAAAGAAGCCTTAGGTATTGCAAAACAAATGATGACTAAGAAACTACTAGTCCAAACATGTTACTTAAGAGGTCACCTGTCTGGCCTAGAACGTTATGAATTTCAGATTACACTGAATACGTGACACATGAGGCATTTTAGAAAGCCTTGCTTTCAAACCCTAATCTAGATTGAGAGTCTTGTAGAAAGGATAACTCATCTATATCCACCTTGCTTTCTCTGCATATATTAAGACTTGACCAACACTGTAAGGGATTTAAATGCAATGATGAAAGGTACTTGATGGGTTGTGAAGGGGTCAAAATCCTGCCACCCTGAAGCTGCTTTTTGGGATGTTGATTTTTAAGCTGTTTACTAAGAAACAAAAGACCAGGAAAGATTCTTTGGCCCTCCCCCCTTCCCTGCCCAAGAGTTTCAGACAAAGAACCTAGCTTCTGGAAGGAGATCTTATGATACTCCCCTTAGCCCAATTTGAATTAAGTAGGGTAAACAAGAGGCCTTCAGGCAGGTGCCTGTCAGCTAGGTACCCACTGTGCCCCATTGTGTCAGTCACCTCCACGGATTTTCCTGCCAGGCATGTTTTGTTATCCTCAACTACCTGTAAATTGCCCATTATCACTTCTGAAATCTATTGTATTATCTCCTTGTCCAGAAATGTCTTACAAACCCAATGTTGTCTCACTTGTCTTTGGAATTTTTATGGATCTATCATGTCTATGTGAATTCCCCATGTGCATGTATGAAACTTTATTTTCTCCTGATAATCTCTATGTTTTTAATTTGGTTATTAGTCAAACCAGAAGAATTTAGAAAGTGGGAGGAAAAGTATGTATATGTATTTTAGACTCCCACTGAAGCTTTGATCAAGCATAATCACTTACAAATTAAATTTTTCTATTGTTAGGATTTATACTTATTAAATCCTACCTTTAAAAAAACAAACATGTATTTAGAGAAACAATTTTACATTCAGATACTGACATGCCTACAGACTTTTACAAATTTTACATTCAGATGCTGGTACCTACAGACTTCTGCTTTGTATTTCAGGTAACTAAGCAATCCTTTTCTCCTATTAATTTACAAGTATGGTAGGCAAATACCCGAACCTGTGTTAGAATCTCTAGCAGCTGCTTTTCTCTTCCTACCCATAAAAAATAAAATAAGGTGCTAGCTAATGTTTAACATGGCCATGGTAGTGGAAAAGAAAGGAGAAGCTAGAATAACACAGCAGCAGGCCCAAAACAGATTGGGATCTGAGTTTAGACTTGAACCCATAAGTCCTCTGTATCAGTAGTTCTCAAAAGGAAAAGGGGATTTTGACCCCAGGGACATTTGGGAATATCTGGAGAAATTTTTTGTTGTCATGACTATAGGATCTGGGAGGGATGCTACTGGCATATAGTGGTGGGTAGAGGCCACGGATGCTACCAAACATCCTACACCACACAGGACAGCCCCCACAACAAAGACCTATCCAATCCAACATGTCAATAGTGTCTTGTTGAGAAACTGCTATGTACAAAACCAATGGGTACTCACAGGGCCAAGCCACTGAAGCGTCATATACTAGTATACTGTGGGGGCTAAAGAATATTAATACTCGCCGAAGCCGGCTTGGCTCAGTGGTGGAGCGTCGGTCTGCGGACTGAGGGGTCCCAGGTTCGATTCCGGTCAAGGGCATGTACATTGGTTTCTGGCACATCCCCAGAAGGGGGTGTGCAAGAGGCAGCTGGTCAATGTTTCTCTCTCATCGATGTTTCTAGCTCTCTATCTCTCTCTCTCCCTTCCTCTCTGTAAAAAAATCAATAAAATATATTTTTTTTTAAAAAGAATATTAATACTCTTCAACTCCTAAGTTTTTCTAGGCTGGACTAATAAAATTAACAGGGACAGATTAACAGGAGAAAAATTAAGGTTTTAATACATGTTCATGGGGAATTCACATTGTCATGAAAATTCCAAAGAGAGTGAGACAACATTGGGTATATAAGATGTTTTGGGACAAAGGAGAAAAGGCAGGGGTGGGGGAGGGAAGGAAGGTAGGAATGGAGTCTTAGATTTCAGGAGTGAGAATGAGCAATTTACAGATTGTTGAGGGAGAGCAGAACATCAGTGGCAGGACTGTTCTTGCTATCAAGCTGGAGTCTTCCAGACCAGTGCCAGTGTGAAGATGCTTAAGGCGATTTAGCCAAGGTTCCCTTCTCCATGCCGGTTCCTGTCTGCATCTCTTGGGCAGGAAAAGGGGGAGGGCCAAAGGTTCTTTCCGAGAGTCTTTTGTTTCTTAATAAACAGTTTAAAATCAATATGCCAAAAAGGCAGCTTCATGGTGGCAAAACTTTTGTCCTTTCAATATCTTAGGTTAGTGTTTTTCAGACTTTACAGCTATAGAATTCTTTTTTTTTTTTTAATATATTTTATTGATTTTACACAGAGAGGAATTGAGAGGGACAGAGAGTTAGAAACGTCGATAAGAGAGAAACATCCACCAGCTGCCTCTTGCACACCCCCCCTCTGGGGATGTGCCCGCAACCAAGGTACATGCCCTTGACAGGAATCGAACCTGGGACCTTTCACTCCGCAGGCCGATGCTCTATCCACTGAGCCAAACCGGTCCCAGCATATATCTAGAATTCTTGAATAAAACAAAAGCTTGCCAGGAAGTTCATCAAATACAGCAGGCTAAAACAGAACTGTCCTGAATGGGGAGAAGGGAGCTTAAATGCCACAAGAAGAATGTGGTTGAAAGTAGATTTCATCCTAAAAGTAACTCAGGTGAAGGAGGAAAGAACAGGCCTTGGAACCAGCATTGCTCTAGGGATGTCTAGCCCACCATTTTCACAACATGTAGGTGCTTTCTGCCTAACACACTGCTTTTAATTACATCTTTTCATCAAACAAAGATACTCCTCCTGAGGACCTGGTCTTCACACCCAGGTGTTCAGCCCTTTTTAACTAATAGTTTTTAAATGTATTGCCTTTTAGTTTTTATTCCCATTGACTGCCCAAGGCAGCTCTGATCTCCTCATACTTCATTGCATTAAATAAATAAATAAATAAATAAATAAATAAATAAATAAATAAATAATCTTCTATTCTCAGTTATTCTCAAACTAGAAGCCCGGTGCATGAGTTTGCGTATGAAATTTGTGTACTCAGGGGACTGGGGGGCGTGGTATTTCAGCCCAGCCTATGTGCTCTCGCAGTCCGGGAGCCCCTTGATTGATCGCCCTATAGAGGAAGGCCTCACTGTAGCACCACCAGCTGAGTAGCCTGGGCCTCCTTCTGCAGGGCAATTGTGGAGTCTCCCCCTCCACACATCCCCCTACTCTCCCCCTCCCCCTCCCCCCCGATTGATTGTCCTGCTGGCCAGTGTCCTGGGCCTCCCTATGCAGGGCAATCCTGGAGCGATGGCATCCCACCCCCCAACCAATTGCATTGCATCTGCCTTGGCTGGCCTGGAGTCAGTACATGTCATAGCGTTGTCATCTGGACAGTGGTTCTGCTGTTTGGCTGTTTGGTCGATTTGCATATTATATATTATGCTTTTATTATTATAGATACCCCCATTGGTTTGAGCAAATGAATGTTGTTAAAAGGCTTGTAGCACATAAATGTTTAAGGCCTCCTATGGGGAAGAGTTGGGTTTCTAGCAGCAGGAGGGGAGCTTTGTTCCCAGAGAAGTCCTGCTTTTATGTCTACTGTAGTGAATGGGATAGTTGAGCCTGGGAAAACAGAAAATAATTCTATTGGGGAGAAAATGAGAGAGAGGGGATGAGATGTTGCTAACAAGTCATGCCACTCTGTGATTTACCTCTCTAACAATATGCTGGTTC